GAATAGGGAAATTCACTTCCTGTCCTAGTGAACCACACCCCTTCCACGTGATTGATTTTAACATCGACTTTAGGGGTTAGCCTAATATTCTATACCGATTTATCGAAATAAAAATGGTAGCTGAAGTAATGCCGCTTGCTCAATAACAAAATAGGGGCCGTTCTCCGCATTTTACACATAAAATACCAATCCTACGATCGTGTGTTAGCGGTTACGGTTACCCTTGGCATATCGCCGTTGAACAACTGATGATCAATTCCTTGGCCAATCTTCTTCTTCTTCTCCCTAGCGTTAGTCCCGCACGTCGCAGGATCCGTTGAACTCCTGAGCCAATCAACTCCGTGGATTATGCATGCTATGCATCTCTGTTGGGAGCGGCTAGCGCGACGCGAACGCTCGCGTGAGTGGATTCAGCGCAGCGACCGCCGACCGGGTAACAACGTGATTACCTGCGATCACTGTATCCTTTGGTTTCTTTTTGCTAATTTTAGAAAGCTTGTGAGGGAATGTAGTACAAATAGACGAAATTTGAGATGGGATTCCTCAATTCCAAATGAACCCGTACATGGAGCTTTTTGGTGATCAGTTACCCTGCGACCGCATCGCGACCGCCGAGCGTTGTTACCAACATTTGCAACTCCTCAAATTCTGAATTCGAGTCAACTGTTTTGTGACTGTTTTCGTTTCATTTCGCGCAATGCAATTTAGTTCATAATATTTCAAGGGATTTCTCATAGGGCTATAGGGTCGAGTTTTCTTATACATACTTGTTCCTTCGCTCTCTCATTCGAGATGCCATTTTCAGTCAGCTGCAAAACTTACGTCCGCAAGTACACAAATCTTCTCTGCTGATCGCTTTTTTTGGGGAGTTCTTCTCAAACGCTTGTCTCTCAGCATTTTAGAACTCAATTCATTGCGGATTCCTATCCCTGCTTGCGTTATTTTGTAAGCATTAACGGTTTTGTGCACCGGAATCTGGCTTGGGTCCTGTCTTTAAATGCTATACCCCGTAAAACTAATGAAGTAATATGAGGTAACGCAGTTTCAGGACATATTCACAGTCGATATCCGAAAGTTGGGGTAGGCGTGTCACCGGAAGTGACGTGCACTTGATAGAAGTTGCGTGGATAAGCTGTTGCCAGCATGCTTTGCTGATATCCAGCGATGTATGTTGGAAGCAGCTTATCCATAGCTTCTATCAAGTGCACGTCACTTCCGGTGACACGCCTACCCCAAGATGTCGAGTGTATGGGCGCACGCATAGTCGGTCGTCCGACAGCAACGATCGCAACTGTCTGACTGTCTAACTGCATCTAATCGTCGAATACTCAGGCAAGTCCGACGATCGATACGCATCCAATGCTGTGCGACAGTTACGATCGTTGCTGTCGTCCGACCGACTATGCGTGCGCCCTTCTCACGGCGGTGCGATCGCAGCACAGCAGTCGACAGCCCAAAACAATTAGGGGACCGGGTGCTTTTCGCATATCCACAATCTTCTGTTTTTTGAAACAGACTTGAGTTTTGTTGATCCATGGTTGCTCCGTGGGGTGGCCTGGGGTTCGCAGATCCACAGAAAACCATGGAATGTAACCAGTTCCTCGTGCATTGGGCGGCGGTCATAGTCGCGATTTTTTTTGGTTTTGCGGTATTTCGAGGAGAGTGCTATCGCAAGATACGGGGGATCCTTCAGGACTAATCTTAGGAAAGGGACAGAAATGTCGAGGAAAATTGGAATTGCTCACGGATCCTGGAGACTTCTACACCGTTTAGAGCGGAATCCCATTTTTAGCAAAAGGAAGATGTTTCGCGCTGTTTTGAATACATTGCCATCCCTCGAGGGGTGCATACGTATTGATTGACCATGCCATCGTAGAGTCGCAAGGATACCTCCATATTTACCCTACTTTTATGCTGCAAATAGAACTGGAAGACGGTCGCAAAATGGGACCGTTATCGAAGGCCGCGACCACGCGATTCAGGTAGTTTGGTCCTACATCTGCCTGCTGTATGGGACAGCGTGGTTTAATATAGGATCACACCTATGTGAATCGTCCCTATGTGGAGGGCACCTCGCTAGATTCCTTAAATATTGTATAGATTGTATCGATCATCTAACTTTTACGTGATCTAGAAAAAGAGTCTCTTGTTTTCAAGTCCGCTCACAAACTCGGGTTCGCTCCACTCGACCATAGAGATTGCTTTGGTGATCCTGTGAAATTAGAAGTTTTTGTCGATCACGATTCTCATAAGATGTATTAGTAGGGCATTTGCTCTCTGTTCCCACGCTGTGACCAACGGATTCTTCTTAGAATTCGTCGATATCGGGATAAAACAGCTGCATCTCACCCGATTCCCTGAATTTCCTATGCTTCATTTCTGTTGTGTAAAAGGTGTATGTTCAGATACTCAGCGATTCCGTCGTGTTCTATGGCAACATAGTAGTAATGTGAGAACTACGTATTTTCAGCTGTCGCCGGTCGGTCGTTGACTATGTTCCTCGATATGGAAATCCGTATATGTGTTCTTTACGAGTATAAACTCAACCGCAATGTACCGGTGGCCTTCGAGAACCTAAGTCGAGCGTTTGGTGACGGAGCAATCTCCAGAGAATCCGTATACCGATGGTATAACCGATTCCGGAAAGGAAACGAAACTCTGGAAGATGAGCGAGGGCCCTTCTCAATCATCAATGATGACGACCTAAAGAAGTATATCGAGGAATACCCATTTTTGTCTCTGAGGGAATTAGCGAAACGATTTGGTGTGGGAAGAACTGCCATAAGATATCACTTGAATAAAATCGCGGACGGCAAACGAGTTCGATACGATCCAAAGAAAGCAGAAGATGCGAAAAAGCGCAAACAGGTAAGAATATGTTCCTTCCATATTTTCATTTTTGCTTTTGTTTTTTTTTCATGCATTCAAGTTGCAATTTGTTGTGATTGTTTTGTAAATGCATTGTATTGACTAGGCAGTGAAATTGGATCGTTTTCGCAAGTGCAGTGCATCTGAAACTTCTGTACTACTGAGTTATTGCTCCTATAAGATATCAGAGGGTAATGTGTCCAAGCGCGACTCGACCCTCAATGAGTCAGATTAGCTCGTCTTGTAGTGTTACCCCTTTTGTTACTCACCGACCTTCAATATTGGTGCTTTGGCGACAATACGATTTTTTCGATATTTGCTGCGTGGGACTGGGTTCAGTTTTAATGGGATGAGATGTGGCTCCATGAGAAGTCGTATTGCCTCAGAAGGCAATCTTTTTGACAAATACAGTTCCAGGAAGGCAGAAATTTATTTCGGATGAAGGAGAACATTGACGGTCCTGAAAATGAAATGAGGTCACTCTGGGCGCGGGGCTCTCCCCCTTTCTTCACGATTTGGGGCGCGGCCGCGGCGAGCGCGGCCGAGTCGATAGTGCCCGCGAACTGTGTGGGTAAATTTGAAAACGCATCACCACCACAGTTCGCGGGCACTATCGACTCGTCCGCGCTCGCCGCGGCCGCGCCCCAAATCGTGAAGAAAGTGGGGGAGCCTTGGCGCGGGACCGCCATCCTCTCCACTACAGGGGCTATAAGCTTCCTTTGGCAGCAGATTTTCACTACTGTGATTTCACGTTCCAGAGACGTAACGAACGGACACAGCATCCATGGTGACAACGGCTAGAGGGCCACAGGAACTCCCGCTTTCGCTTAATTGTTCACTATTCTGTTCATAAGGGCACTTTCATAGTCGTTCATCGTAACCATCAGATGACCGACGATGGAGGCGCCCATTAATTCAATGAAATGTGAAATTGGTGGGGTTTGGTTAGCCAAAACAGGTAGCGGCTTTTTCGTGTATTGCAGCGCGAAACCTCCTTTACAGCGGGAACTGCAGGTTTTTGCTGATCAGAGTGGACCTGAAGTTTCTGCAACCAAATTTTTTCGCGCTGCGAAACGCAAAAAGTCGAGTTTCTGTTCAGGCAAACCACACCCAAATTGGTTGCAAAAAATCGTGGCACGAAATGGGGCTGGCGCAAGATTAGGCGCTCGCAGATACTACGAAGCCTGCTGATCATGATGTGATCACTAGAAACTTGAAACTTGCTCAAAGGAGTTTTTCATGCTGCATCTCTGGACGGAACGCATTGTCCCACAAAGCTAACGCAGTCGCTGATGTGCCAAACAAATTCTGTGAATGAATGTTATAGGGGATTCCAGTAGAAGACGACGAGCAAACTACTTCATCTTTGGAAGTCCCAGCTAAGAAAGAAAAAGGTAAGTGTTTATGGAGTGTATTCATGGCTCCCTCAAAGGAAGTTGTTTTTTGAGAATTTTCAGAATTTTAGCAACTAACTCGTTTTGCGCCAGATTTGTCATATTTTCATGTGTCCAGCGGTGATAGAATAGCTTTCAGCTGTGATCCTAAAGAGATTCTTTATTTAGTCTACTTTTCTGAAATTTCTGCTTGATCTTCTACCCCTGCTCTGAGTAGTCAGATTTGTTTGATTGGTCGATCTGAAGGAAAAGTTAGAAGAAATTAACCAAGTGCCTCTAAAGTACAGGCTCTTAGAGAATCTTCCCAGTGTTTTTCTTTGTTAGTGGAAAGGAATAGTGGAAAATGTTTCAGCCGAGGTCTCCACGGTTGTGCGAATATCAGAGCCGCAAAATGACTCAAAAAAGGAAGTCTCAACGTTGTCTCAAGGTGAATATTATTTATACATTTTCTATTTATTTTTTTAGTGTTTATGTTTTGGAACATTTTGGTCGTTCTTTCGTTTCACTTCATTCACATTGGCTTCTTTTCATTTTTCATTTTTATTGCTTGGCGAATTTCGAGCGTTCTCATAAGCCCTTTCGGTTGTAGAATATCACTCATTGCCTACTACTGGTGCCACGAGGTTGCATGCCCCATTTTTTTTGCTTCCTTACTGATTATTCACTGTAAGCTCATTACGCGTCGCTTCGTACACGTCTGTCTTTTACCCTGGTTGACGGGTCATTGTGAAGTACCCTATGTTGCAATTTGGGGCCTTGGTTTTCCTCTCTGTTCCTCATCGAGGCGCAATGAACACTTCGGCAAGGGACAAGTTTTCGTCTGATAAATCGTATTGGTCACTTCTTCATTTCAGTCCTGAGGAAGGACCCTTTTCTGTCTTGTCACAGGAGCCACCAAGCTTTCGGGAGGACAACTTTGACGTCCTGTGCTTTCAAAATGGCAAATGCGATACGATGCGTTGTGGTTCACGCAGCGAAAATGTCGCTTCCTCTCCTGGCGAACCACAGCCTAGTAGGGAGGGGGTAGCGTGTGAGTACGACATTTGCCGCCGCTTACAGAGGATCCCATTTCTAGGGCGGAAATTCGTGGTTGCGTGAATTATTTCGTGTTCGCATCACACCCACTCGGAGCTTCCTTTCTTGCGCAAAATTGGATTGCTTCAGATGGTTCGAACTGTCGCACCGCATGCTGATTAACATTAAGCACGTGAAGTTCTTTTGAGACATCCAGAAGTCGCTGGAAGCTCAATAGGGGCTGAGCGTGGAGTCGATAAATGAAGTTATTGCCTCTGGAGGCTCTTAGATTTTCCCTAGCATTGGAACGTGTTTTTTTTTACTAGAATTCTTGTCTCATAATGCAAAACGGCTCTGAAGCTTTTCTTGTAACCGTTCAGTAGTATAGTCGATATCCGAAAGTTGGGGTAGGTGTGTCACCGGAAGTGACGTGCACTTGATAGAAGTTGCGTGGATAAGCTGTTTCCAGCATACATCGCTGGATATCAGCAAAGCATGCTGGCAACAGCTTATCCACGCAACTTCTATCAAGTGCACGTCACTTCCGGTGCCACACCTACCCCAACTTTCGGATATCGACTGTATTTTAGTCGAGTGACTGACTTGGCCATTTCATTTTACAGCACACCATGCTGTTGAAACCAGTCGTGCACAGTAAAGAGGCGATGATATGTTCGTGGTTCAGCTAGAACGTAAACGCAGTTTGTCGAATGATTTGTTCATTACCCTGCTGCATTACTGCGCGCCTGCCGTCCCACGGGCACAAAGCACCTTCCAGAATCTGCACATTCTATCAACATTCATCTTTTCCTGGATCACGAATGGTTGCCTCAGCGTTTTTGTGGACGGTCACCACCCAGTCCACCCTGTACGTTGAGTTTGCAACTGATAATTTGCATGGGACCGTCAAGGCGCCGTACATCGCTGCCAAACGTAGTTTGTTCTCACCGCTCTAGATGACGTCAGCACGCGGCGAGGATGTCCAAGTCAGTTGTGCGCTTCCAGTCGCTTCACAAAAGAAAACACTCCAGAAGCTTGAAAAAGTGATGAATGCGGAGATTTACGGGCAGATTCCAGGAGATCTTACGTGCTCGGACCCATGGCATGACTTGCACGCTACTGAGTTTGCGTTCTAACAGGACCACGAACATACCATCGCCTTCTTTGG